TTTTTTTTTCCTTCCTGTTGGGAAAGAGGTATAGCAAACTATCAAGTAACAACCAGAATTTTTTTTTATTGCGTTGAAGATTTCTCTGCTTCAGCAACAGTTGTTAAAATGAAAACATTGGAGAATTTTTCTTACTCTTAATAAATATTTTTTTATTAATATAATTATACTAAAAAAATTATAAATTAAAAATAAGAAATAAAAATTTGTACAATATTTATGAAGATTACCTAAGAAAATCGTACTTGTACGTGGCAAGTTGGGCTTCATTCACCAGGAGAAGCAAGAAACTCGTACTTGTACGTGGCAAGTTGGGCATCATTCACCAGGAGAAGCTAGTGGTTCTTGATTGGCCACCTCATTTGGTTCACTTTACTTCTGTAAGTTGTAACCACCAAAAAAAAAAAAAAAACGTGTCGTTCTCTAAATCATAAACGACATGGCGTTTGTTGAGTAAAACGATGATAAAACGACATGTCGTAATGATGACCATGAAAACGACATGTCACTCCTGCACGGGCCGTATACTTTCCTTCCCTCTCTCTCCCCTTTCCTTTCTCCAAGTACGCCGAGGCTTGTGACCCTCTAAATCTCATCCATCAGTGGCTGCTTCGCCTTTGATCGATCTGCGTCTTTCTAACCTCAGAGCTTCAGATTCACCAAAATCATGGCTTTCTTCCTTAGCAGAACCAACATCGGTTCCCGCCTGCACTCTCACTTCCAGGTTACTTTCTCTCTCTACCTCTCTCTCTCTCTCTCTCTCTCTCTCTCTCTCTCTAACTATTTGTTTCAAAAACCAGGGCACGCAAAACGATGCGCTTTCCCTCTCCCGTCGCCAATTCCACATCGAACCAGGGCCGCGCGAGCAAGCTGTGAGATTCTCTCTCTCTCTCTCTCTCTCTCTCTCTCTCTCCTCTGCTCGATTTGTGCTTATTATCATTTGATTTGAGTTGATTCTTCTAGGTTTTTGAAAAATTTCACATTAAATAACAGTAGCTTTTCGTTTGACTATTTTCATTTCTTTTATCAACCGAGATCATCTTAGAAGAAGCAAACTAATTTTTTTTTTTCGGGTTCTTGATATATGTATTCATGTCTATTAGTAAAGAATTTAGAGCTCATCTCGGTGCGTTGATGATTGGTGCAACTATTATCACCCCCAAAATTGAAAATTTAGGGTTTTGGCTTGCGCATTCGTTAATTTCATTGTGAAATCTCAACATTAGTGCTGGTCAAGTTGACCATCAATTATTTATGTTTTGGCTCCTGATTGTGCTTCTTAGGAATTTGAGTTTAGAATTTGAAGTTTTGACTGTGTACTTCTAACAAACTTTAGATTTTGACAGAAAAACCGTCAATCCCTAGTTTTTAGGGTTACATTTACAAGTTTGCTAGTAAAGAGGAGTGATTCTTTGTGTATAAATATATGGAGATAATATTAATTGTGAGAGAATTATGCTAAATGTGAGCCTATTGGTTTCCATTCCCTGCTTCGGCATTAGAGAATTCTTATATTCTAAAGATTTGATCTTTATTTTGTGTTCTATTGCAGAAGATTGATTGTATTAAATGCGCTTTTTTTTTTAATTTTGCGTTTCTTGTACTGAGCTGAGTAATTTGCAGCTCTTGGCTGAAGATCCTTCTCTAAGGAAATACAAATCGCACAAGAAAACTGTGAGGCGACTTAAGAGAGTTGGAGACGTCCTCACTATAGTTGTTGTCGCAGGTAATGCTGATGCTTATGTTGGAAATTTGATACGATTATTTTCTAATATTCTATTTTTGATTTAGTTTTTAGGAATTTTCTTTAGTACTCTCATTGTTCTTTTCTCTACTTAAAGTTTGGTAAACTACATTCTTATGATATGCGTGACATTCTGATCTTTCTTTTATACTAGCTTAGAGTAACGCTGTTAGTGTGAGCCAGCATTGGGATTTTTTTTTTTCTTTTTTTTATATATAACAATATAGATATGCGCTTTTATGTTAAAGACTTCCCATAAGAGAGTTCTAGTAGCTGACTGACTTGGAGATGCTCAAAATAGGGAAGAAAGGGTAAAAAACTTGGGTTTGCGCTTAGGTCAGCAAGTTTACAATCTGAAGAAAGGGAACACGATGGTTAAGAACCTAATGTTACCCAAATGGTAGTGGCCGGATCTTGGTATGTTGGACAATCTGAAGAAGGTGGAGTTTTTCAAGTAGGAAAGTCCTTGGAACAGATCAAATTTACCGTCGCTCGAAGTAACATGAAGAATTATACATGTTACTCATAATTTGTAGAATAGCATGAACCATATTAGAAAATCATGTAGGTTGTGATCTGTGATATGTAAAAAATGAAAACGGAGGATGAAATGAATTTATGGCCGTGTTTGGAATTGATTCCGTTTTTGTTTTTCATGTTTTTCGAGAAAGAAAAAATGAAAACATTTTTAAAACGGCATTTGGCGCAATAAAGACAAAAAACGGAAATGAAAGTGATTTTTTGGTTTAGTGTAAAATGGGAGAGAATTGAAAAATGACTTTTAGTTGTTTTTCATTTTTTGTTTTCGTTTTCTTCTCTCTTGAGTAGAGAAAGAGAAAGAGAGACATTAATGGATTTTTTTACACGGAAAACAATCTCTTGATAAAACTACCAAACGCATTTTCAAAAATGATTTCTGTCTGAGATTAAAAACATTTTCATTTTCATACAAAAAACAAAATCATTTTGGAACGAGTTCTAAACGCGCCCTATGATTCGGGCAACCTTCATTTGTAAGTTTTTCATTCAGTATCACCAGCATTCTCATCTCTTGGGGCATGAATTTGTGGCAACTGTATTAAATAATTAATTTTGCAGAAAGACTATATTGACTTTCTTGAAAGAATAGTTTTCTTACAATTTGGTGAATTCTAAAAGTACATAACTTTCCCCCTTGTGGCCTATTTTTCACCTATCTTGCCAAAGTAAAATAGAATCAAGCATATGAAAGCTATTCAATTAAAGACCATTTGCTCGATTGTTAATGGGACGTTTGGTTCATGGGTTCAAAACTATGATTCATGAATTTAATTTTTGAAATTCAAATTTTTTGTGAGAGAAAAACTAGAGAACCAATAACCATAATTCAGAACCAGGGATGAACTTTTGAAACAAACATCCCATAAGTGGCCATTCTGAAATATGTTTTTCTGTATGAAAAATATGAGCATCTTGCGATTAGTCTATCATGGCCATGGATAGGATAATATCATTTCAATATCATCAGTTTCAAAGCTTACATGTGCTTTTATTATGTTTGTCCCAGGCTGTTGCTACGAAATATATGTTAAAACACTATTGCGAGAAGAGGCGTGGAAGGCTAAGGCTGCAGGTGAAGGAGCATCGTAAAGTGTCCATCTATTTGGCATTTTTTTCCCCCCTTTTCTGGCAACAACGTTAGAAATACGCTTACTTTTGAATAAGAATAAAAACGGGAAATGATTCCTTTCAGTTGCGTTTAAGTTTTGCTGGCTGGTCTGTTTCTTAATAAAACCTGTTGCAATGGAGGTTTTTAATAGCTGCAATGAATATGTTGTGTTCTTTCAAAGTGAATGTTGTGCAGAAATTGAACCCGTGTGCAAGCTTGAACCTTGAGCTTTGAGCCTCAACCAGAAAATGAGACTTACATTTTCAATCTTTTCCTGACTTGTGTATTATAAATGCGAGTTTTATGGTAGGGTGTGAAAAAACACCCTACTGATAAGGCTTTGTTTGTCTTAAACAGTATGATCATTTTATTCATTTTGATGAGACGTTGACTAGATTTAACATTCGGAAACATGTACTATGGTACGGTAAAAAGCTCCTTATAAATGTTTAGGATGTTATTTTGATACCAGCACAAGGGCTGTAGCTGGTTATACATTTGTCGAGACGTTAAATGCAAGTTACTCGGTTAGCATGGTGTGATTTGGTGACCTACCATGGCGTATATAGCATATGTTCCAATAATATGTAAACTTTATAAATAAGTCAGAGATCGCTATGAAATTAAGGGTGGTGGTAAAACAAAATGTGCTGTTTACAGATTGTTTCCAAGTGACACCAGATTATCATGTGCTTGAATTTGACGGAGCCTTAAGAACCAAAACTGAATCATGTGATAATTTTCAATTTCAAGGACTTGGTTGGAAACTTGGAATTGACAAACACACTCTGCAAAATTGAACCATTTCTCAACATTGGCTCACAAGATGTTCGTATTTGTAGCTATTTGGGGCGTAGGTTGTATAGGTAAGAAGTAAGATAACCCTTGTCCAAGTTCTATTGAGTTAATTTCATCTCAATTCAAAAGTTGTATTCTTGAAAATATTTAGGAATTATCAAACACTAATTTACGCAGTTTACTTTTTCGCCATTATTCATTTCATCAATTCGAGTTTTCAATTTCAATTTTATTATAGTTAAAAACTCTCACAAAAAGTCGCATCTAACTTTTTTTACTACAGTGAAAAGTTCTCATATAAAATCACATCGTAACTTAAATCTGTGAACTGAACGAGGTCTGTATGCAAGGCCGTTTAATTATTGAAAAAAATGGAGAATTTACTCTTAAGAGTGCATGAGTCTGAATTTTTATCCCTTACTATTGATAAATACTCATTTGTTAGTGTCATTATTTGACTAGAAAGGTTAAGATTCAAGATTATAGGGTAAAAATCATGACCAGTGCACTTTTAAAAAGTATTTGTCAAAATTATTTCTTATTGTTTCTTGTTGTTTTTGTTGATTTTAATAATGCAAAACAATTAGAAAAATTTACAAAATTACTGAACTTACTCTTAAAAGTGTATAGATTTAAATTTTTATCCATTGTTCTTGATTAATACCCTTGACTAATATAGTATTTGATTAAACAGTATTAATTAAGAGTAAAAGATGAAAATTAAGACTCATACAATTTAAAGGATATTTGTGTTATTTTTTCTAAAATATTTGATTGGAGAATGTGATTGGTTTGGTCGGCAATCATTGGTTTGGTTTGATAGTATTGATGCTCGTGAAATATATAAAAAGGATGGGGAATTAAATTTTAACGAAGTAACTTGCTTTGTCCAAAAGCTTTTCGAAGAACCTCTCCTTCAAGAGATTTTTTATTATGATTAATTGTGTTCTTTGGGATTCGAACTCAGGACTCGGGATTCGAACTAGGACTTAATACATTGAAAGTTACTCATTAAACACTAATAAGACTGGCCTCAATTGTTCTCTGAGTTTAGTGCGTTTGGTTTAATGATTCGTGTCATGGTTTGTGATTTATTATAATATTTTTTTTCATAAAAAATATACGTAAATTGAGAATAATTTTGAATCTATCAACCAAACGTCCTCAGATTATGTGTCTATATATATATATATATATATATTGCTGCCAATAATTGGGAGGGAATGTTTTTTTCCTATTATTATTATTTTTCTAAGGCAAAGGTTAGGGTTGTTCATGGGTTAGATTGGTGCGGGATAGAGTTTTTTTTCCTCGCCCCAAAATGTGCGGATTGCACATATTTGGACTTAACGATGTTAGAAATTTTCACAATCCAATGATATTTGGGTTGTGTTGGGGCGGTGCGGGGTGGGTTGAGTGATTGGTTTCAACATTCAAAGAATCAAAGACTCAAAGTTCAATCCAACATTTAAAGTTCATCATCAAATAAAAATAATAACTCCAACATTCAAACAGATAGAAATTCAAAGTTCAATCCAACATCAAACATGAAGCAAAGTAGTCCATCAAACATCAAATATAAAGCAAACATAAATTAGTCTACACTCATAAATTAGTCTTAAATAAAACAAACATAGAGGCTTAATTCAAACATAAAGAAACTAGATAGTAGAAATGAGTTACATGCTTAGGGTTAGATATTAGAGGAAGCAAGTTAGAGCGCGGGTTGAGTTGAGGTGTGCATGTCATTATAGGCCCAACTCACACCCCACATCAAAACTTCATACTAGATATTGAATGGGCCGAAAAAAGAATTTAATACTAAAAATTGCATTTTTTAAATTGGGTTGGAGTGGGGTGGATTGAACCTGCGGTTTTGCGGGTTTATGAACGGCCCTAGCAAAGGCCATGCTATACTAGCAGTTAGCCAA